TGTAGATTGATAGAATATAAACAACTTAAGTATTGCTTTGTTTACGTCAGACTTTTTTCAACCAAATGGGAGAAAAACTGCTAGAATTTAAATTTAAGGTCCAGTCGAGATTGAGACTGATTTCAGCACACCACACCGTGAGTGAGTTCCGAGGCTCATTCAGTGATGGATTGGCATGAAATCAGCTAGTACTCACTCACGGTCAGATCTATGTATTTTGGATTCATAACAGTTTCTTCCATATTTCACAAGACTTAAATGTATTCCTAATTTTTGCTAGGAAAAAGATAAGAATGTAGTCAATACACAGATGTATTAGTAGAGTTATGTATTGTAGGGGATTGTGTAGTTATGAAACAACTGGTTCCAAAATTTACACAAATCTTAATTCAATGCCCATAAGTCTTAAGTGGAATTTAACAAGAATTTTATCAAATCCTTTATTTAAAATAAATACATTTTTTTTTCTCTATTTTTTTTACTTTTAAGACATAGCAGTATTTGTTTCACCTTCTTTATGTTGAACTATTGACCTATATATTTTACCTCCAGTTTGAAGAGTTCACTAACCAACAAACACAGAGAAGACCTAGATGTCTATCTTAGGCATGCTTGTCTTTGAGGATCCTGGGGAACAGTTGTTGTTGTTGTTATAGAAACAAACCATGGGATGGAATTTATTAGAACCCTCAGATGTTTCCTCCATTACAAATAGCTCTTTTCCATCCATCCTTTTATAATGGCTGAAAGTTGGGTTGGGATTTCTACCTAGTGGCATGCTATGTTTTGTATGTTTTCTTTACGTTTGTTTGTTTGTTTTGTTTGTAGATTAGCCTATGTCTGGACCTCTATGTACAAACAACTGAAAAACAAATCCATGAAAAACTACACTACCTATATATTCAGCACAGGCCCCAGTTTCACAAGACTCCTAAATCTAAGGAAAATCCTTAACTTGATTTAAAGTTTTCCATATGACAACATTGTTTGAGTGAAAGAAAAAAATTCTAAGCTAAAGAGCTTTCTTTCACTTCAGCAGTGCTTTTTAATAGAAGTTTTTAAGTTTAAGAACTTTGATAAGTTCAGGAACATTTGTAAAACTTAGGCCAGGTCCTAAAATCATGAAGTTGTCCAAGACCATAGGTAACGATTACAAAAAATTACTAAATATAAAGCCAATACATTATTTTTGTCGCATTTGCAATAGAAACCATTGCTAAATAGTAATTACTTGAGATTATCAATGCACTCATTATTGTGTACGTTAGAATGGTGTCATTGGGTTAATTAATTATCATTCCTAAAGACATTTAGGGTTTACACTCCATCTTTAACTTAATTTGTCTGTGTACTTCTTTGTCCAGGTTACCTCTTGGAATGGCAGAGTGTTGTATACTGAAATAAGGTGTCATGACCTAATATATATAGAGTTATGGCCCTTTGTTTGTTTCACTTCAAATTGTTCTGGGTTTTTTTCATACATATTCATTTCTGTCATCTACAGATTCCAAGTTTTGGACTAGAGTGTCTGAATACTGAAATTGAGTATTGTGCTCAATTTTATACAGAGTTATGGCCCTTTGTTCATTTTTGATGCATATTTTGTTGGGAGGTGGGGGGTAATTGATTGCTAGGGATTCTTTGTTGTGAATGTGGAGCTCATTTGGAATTGAGGTATGAAATAGTAAGGTAGCATACATCTTCAAGGTGAAGTTGGTCAAGCTAACCAATCGCAAACGTGAGGACATTATTGATCATGATCACAGTGTTGGAATATATCTGCAGGCTGACCTTGCTTAATTAGGCAGAAAACAATCTGTCAATCAGGGAGATGTAGACAACAGACAGGTGAGAGTGTCCTGATATAGTGGCCTCGGGTGTACAACACTACACACAGGTATCATACATAAGGACAGGTGAGAGGGTCCTGATATAGTGGCCTCGGGTGTACAACACTACACACAGGTATCATACATAAGGACAGGTGAGGGTGTCCTGATATAGTGGCCTCGGGTGTACAAAACTTCACACAGGTATCATACATAAGGACAGGCGAGAGTGTCCTGATATAGTGGCCTCGGGTGTTCAACACTTCACACAGGTATCATACATAAGGACGGGTGAGAGTGTCCTGATATAGTGGCCTCGGGGGTACAACACTTCACGACCTCTTCTGAATAACCATGGGTCCCAGGATGTTGATACTTTGCAAGTTGCATTCTGAGATGAAAGGCTATACAATTTGCTCAACATAATTACTTTGTTGGACTTTCAAGGGGTGAAATGTTTTAAAATCTTTTAACAGGTTCTTTTGAATGACTTTAGTAATAAATACTGATATCTTGCCTGTAGCTTTATTTTAGATCACTTTTAAGGTTGCAAGTGTGAGATTTATACCAGGTGAGCGATGCAGGCCCATTGGGCCTCTTGTTCATTTCACTGATAAATTACAATATATTTATATGCTGATCTATACAAATGCATGTAGGAGAGAACTGACATAGGCATAGCCTGTTATTCGATCCAATTCATACAACATCATGAATAAAATTTGTTGAAATGAAATGAAATGAAATGAACACTTCACACAGTTATCATACATAAGGACAGGTGAGAGTGACCTGATATAGTGGCCTCGGGAGTACAACACTTCACACAGGTATCATACATAAGGACAGGTTAGAGTGTCCCGATATAGTGGCCTCCGGTGTACAACACTTCACACAGATATCATACATAAGGAGAGGTGAGAGGGTCCTGATATAGTGGCCTCGGGGGTACAACACTTCACACAGGTATCATACCTAAGGACAGGTGAGAGTGTCCTGATATAATGGCCTCGGGTGTACAACACTTCACACAGATATCATACATAAGGACAGGTGAGAGTGACCTGATATAGTGGCCTCGGGAGTACAACACTTCACACAGGTATCATACATAAGGACAGGTGAGAGCGTCCTGATATAGTGGCCTCGGGTGTACAACTCCTGACACAGGTATCATACATAAGGAGAGGTGAGAGTGTCCTGATATAGTGGCCTCAGGTGTACAATACTTCATTCAGGTATCATACATAAGGACAGGTGAGAGCGTCCTGATATAGTGGCCTCGGGTGTACAACACTTCACACAGATATCATACATAAGGACAGGTGGGAGTGTCCCGATATAGTGGCCTCCGGTGTACAACACTTCACACAGGTATCATACCTAAGGACAGGTGAGAGTGTCCTGATATAGTGCCCTCGGGTGTACAACACTTGACACAGGGATCATACATAAGGACAGGTGAGAGTGTCCCGATATAGTGGCCTCCGGTGTACAACACTTCACACAGGTATCATACATCAGGAAAGGTGAGAGTGTCCTGATATAGTGGCCTCGTGTGTACAACACTTCACACAGGTATCATACATAAGGACATGATGAAGCAAGGGGTCCCATCAACCCACATTTTTACATACTCTTATTCGATCCAATTCATACAACATCATGAATAAAATTTGTTGAAATGAAATGAAATGAAATGAACGCTTCCCACAGGTATCATACATAAGGACAGGTGATAGTGTCCTGATATAGTGGCCTCGGGTGTACAACACTACACACAGGGATCATACATAAGGACAGGTGAGAGTGTCCCGATCTAGTGGCCTCCGGTGTACAACACTTCACACAGATATCATACATAAGGACAGGTGAGAGCGTCCCGATATAGTGGCCTCCGGTGTACAACACTTCACACAGATATCATACATAAGGACAGGAGAGAGTGTCCCGATATAGTGGCCTCCGGTGTACAACACTTCACACAGGTATCATATATAAGGAGAGGTGAGAGTGTCCTGATATAGTGGCCTCAGGTGTACAATACTTCATTCAGGTATCATACATAAGGACAGGTGAGAGGGTCCTGATATAGTGGCCTCAGGTGTACAATACTTCATTCAGGTATCATACATAAGGACAGGTGAGAGGGTCCTGATATAGTGGCCTCGGGTGTACAACACTTCACACAGGTATCATACATAAGGACATGATGAAGCAAGGTGTCCCATCAACCCACATTTTTACATACTCAATATGCTAATTAATGTACTACTGCAGTAATATTTTTGGGAGGTCTTGTTTTTGCCATGTGTAGGACCTGAATAGATGTATACATAGCATAGAACATGGAACATTTTGTCTTTTTGATATGTAGCGAAACTTGACTGGGTTGATCATGGTCGACCAGGTAGCTCATTTGGTAGATCATCCGTTCAGAGTTCTGAGGGTCCCAGGTTTGAACCCTGGAGTGGCCATGCATTTCTCTTTCTCCTAGCTGTTACAGATATAAAGAGTTGAATATTTTGGTGTTAAATGAAAAAATCCTTGCAGTTTTGTTCCAGAAATATATATAGGACGGACTGAAATTTGACCTTGTGTCTCAAATAACCCGTGCTATTTTTCCTTTGTATGTTACTCATTACCAACATGACTTGCCTTTGTCTCGCCCACAAGGTATGGTGGACAGACCTCTTGATGTATGACGCACATGTATGGTATATTTTTGCTCCGATAGTACAATATATAAAGGATTAGGGATTATAAGGCCGCATTCTGACCAAATCACAAACCGTGATGAGTGTTGTTTGAGATTGTTAATCTTTGACCTAAGATTTCATAGGTTTCATGCTATGTTGAGTCAAACTTACGAGTTTCTAAAAATATCTAGCATTAACTGCAGATTTGCTTAATTGTGAAATTTTCCTTGCAGATTTATTGTAAGCAAGAATTTATTTGTTATGGTAAAATATTTGTGACTTTTATTTTTTTTCTCTCACGGAGATCAAACTCTTATAAATTTTGCCTTTAGCACCACTGGGGTTAATTGTAAATGTCTGTTGATGATATTTTCTTTCTGTAAAGTGAAATTCATCCTGATTCCAGAAATACCATTGATAAGTTACGAAAATTACATTTTAAAATTACTTAATGATGTTTTCTTGTTTTCAGCAAAGACCAAAGACAGTTGCTCCAGTAGATTATGAAAACTATGTGACAAAGAACAAAGCCATTCTCCACAATGACCCACAGAGGGAAATGCTCACATTCCCTCATGACGATGTCGTCATTCCAGTAAGTCATTCAGAGCCTTACTATTGTACCTAGATCCATGTCCATCAACAAGTCTTTCTGTTTGATATACCCTGGTCATTCAACAGTTAGTTTTCATTGAAATCCATTTTCAGATTTTAAAAAGGGAAGATAGATAATGATAAAGTGAAATAAAAGCACAAGATAATGATAATTTCGTCTTGATTTTGGAATATAAAGACAATTTTTTTCTCATTTTTTTGTTACAAAAACATTAAAATAAAAAAACAAATCTGTATTCGTAAACATTTTTTTCCTGAAAGTAAAGGTCAATTGAGGGAAATATGGAGTTTTATTCAGTAGTGAAGACTATCCTCATTTTCTTGTACAGCCTCCCACCCCTGCCAAGAAGATGCGAACAGTCCAGAGTAGTGTGCCCGAGTCTGCCGCACAGGAGGCCACCAGTCTGCTGGTCTGTGAGGCCATCAAGTCCTACACTGACAGCTGTCACATGGTCAAATACAAGTATAGCAAGTACTCCGGCTCCTACCAACAGTTACCATGGTAAGTCAGGTGACCTAGCAACAGTTACCATAGTAAGTCATGGGACCTAGCAACAGTTACTGTGGTAAGTCAAGTGACCTAGAAACAGTTACTGTGGTAAGTCATGTGACCTAGAAACAGTTACCATGGTAAGTCAGGTGGCCTAGCAACAGTTACCATACTAAGTCATGGGACCTAGCAACAGTTAATCTGGTAAGTCAAGTGACCTATCAACAGTTACCATGGTAAGGCAGGTGTCCTAGCAACAGTTGCCATAGTAATTCATGGGACCTAGCAACAGTTACCATGGGAAGTCATGGGACCTAGCAACAGTTAATCTGGTAAGTCAAGTGACCTAGAAACAGTTACCATGGTAAGTCAGGCGACCTAGCAACAGTTACTGTGGGAAGTCAAGTGACCTAGCAATAGTAACCATGGTTAGTCAGGTCGCTTAGCAACAGTTACCATGGTATATTAGGCCACTTAGCAATGGTAACAATGGCTTAAGTCAGGCCAATTAGCAACAATAACCATGGCAAGTCAGGCCACTTAGCAACAGTAACCATGATATGTCATACCACATAACAACAGTTAACGTGGTTAGTCAGACAACATAGCAATAATAACCATGGTTAGTCAGGTCGCTTAGCAACAGTTACCATGGTAAGTCATGGGACCTAGCAACAGTAACCACGGTATATTAGGCCACTTAACAATGGTAACAATGGCTTAAGTCAGGCCAATTAGCAACAATAACCATGGGAAGTCAGGCCACTTAGGAACAGTAACCATGATATGTCATACCACACAACAACAGTTAACGTGGTTCGTCAGACCACATAGCAATAATAACCATGGCTAGTCAGGTCGCTTAGAAACAGTTACCATGGGAAGTCATGGGACCTACCAACAGCTACTGTGGTAAGTCAGGTGACTTAGCAACAGTTACCAGGATATGTCATACCACACAACAACAGTTAACGTGGGTAGTGAGACCACATAGCAATAGTAACCATGGTTAGTCAGGTCGCTTAGCAACAGTAACCATGGTATATTAGGCCACTTAGCAATGGTAACAATGGCTTAAGTCAGGCCACTTAGCAACATTTACCATGGCAAGTCAGGCCACTTAGCAACAGTAACCATGATAAAATAGTCCACCTTGCAACAATAACCATGGTATGTTATTCTGTCTTGGAACAGTACCAAGTTGCAAGGACCAAGTGACATATATATATGTCATTGTCTGTCCATCTGTCTTCACCTTTTACTTTAAACAGCTTCTTCTCAATTACCAAGCGGCCTATAATGGTGGTGTTATTTAGCCAGCAGCATGCTTTGATCACAGCTATCAAGTGTGTTCAAATGAATGACCTTGACCCATATTTAAGGTCACAAGGGTCCAATTTTCTAAAAACTTCAAACGACTTATTCTCAATAACCAATAGGCCTAGGGTGATGATATGTGGTCAGTAGAAGGCTGGGATGAAGGACTGTCAAGTTTGTTCAAATAAATAACCTTGTTTAATCGTGTCGCTTAACAAAAGATATGCAGAGAGAAAAGTAACAAAACTGTAATGTTAAAGCATTATGGACCTCTCGTTCTACCAGCATGCTGTGTGTCATACTCCCAGTGTTCTATTTTTCCAGTGTGAAGAACCCAGATCCGCTACCTAAGCATGTGTTTGAAGTAGATGCAGAGGAAGAAGAAAAAGAAGATGTATGTGTTTCTTGTTTTGTAAAGCTGTATGCTGTTTAAATGTGTTAAGACATATCACTGTTGAATGGTTAATGTTCACCTTTAAATCAGGAATAATTATGAGAATTAGTTCAATGCTGGGTAAATGTTTTAAATGACAAGTGGGAGAAAGTTTGGTTTTGCTGACAGATGTATATGTCCAGTCATAAAAAAAAGTAAGCAATTTTTTTTTCATTTTTGTTTAATATTAAAATGATTAGGTTGAGAACTTTGAAGTGATTTTGTGGCCTGAGTCTCATGTGGTTTTGAGCTTGAAGTTATGGCCATGATTTGCTAGTTGTATCTAAAAATGTATTGTTGGAAAAGCTGACATAGGGATACAGCGAACAGTCTTTGGATTAAATTTCAATCCTTCTTTGTTATTTCTTGCAGGATCTGTCCAATAGAAGCTCCATGGCAACCACAATCGCCAAGGCAGGGTGGCTGTTTAAGGGGCCAGACGGGGGCAAGGAGAACATCATCAGTTTCACAAGGGTAAATATACACAGTTATCTGCGCTTGGCTGTTTAAGGGCCCACATGTGACAGGCAAATATCTGGGCCTGTAAACATGAAACCATTTTCATGCTTTAATGAATTAAGAGCTCAAAGTAGCTTTTAATTTCTTCAAATTATGCAGCACAGTCTAGATATCAAGTCTAAACACTAAAAATGTTATTTGGCTGGCCATATTACTCTATTTCAATGAATAAAAACATTGGAACAACATAGAAATTGAGCTTAGCACAAAATCTGAATTTGAGTATAAGACCTATTTCATGACTAGTTTCACAAGGGCAGATATGTCTGTCAATGGCTTTTTAAGGGGCCATACAAAGGCAAAGCGAACGCTAGTTTCACACAAGGGTACCCTTTACTTGTAAGGAGATTTAGACTGCATTCGTGAAACCATTCTCATGCTCAAGCATATTCTGTGCTAAAACCAACTTCCTTGTAACTTACTGATGCAGTATAGTCAAAAAGTTAAGTATAGACATTGAAATGGTATTCTGTTTCATATCTCTCTGAAGTACTCCAGTTCATTGAAAAATGGGAAATTTAAATTACTTGTCAGAGGAACAAAGGAATTGGATGAACACACAATCTGAATTTGAGCATGAAAATTCATGGTCCTGGATTTTTTTTTTTTTTATTATTTAAATGTTAAAAACTCTTCTTTTCTTATTTGAGGAACTGCATTGTATTGAAGCTATCGGAAATAAAAATATGGTTTTTGATAAGGTCAGATAAATTACATCAATATGAAGTTTTGTGTTTGCTTTTCAGCAATTTAAGCGGCGGTTCTTTGCCCTCAAACAAGAATCTGACTTTTCCTATGTGATGAACATCTACAAAGATGACAAGAAGCTAGAAACTAAGGGAGCAATATTTTTGGACCTAGCAACAGAGGCGTGCAAGGTAGGTTACCTTCTCTAGTTCTGGGCCTCCCCCTTTGCTTTACCTTCTATAGTTCTGGGCCTCCCATTCATAAAAGGTCAAGTAAACACCATATTTTCCAAATGACTTCTAGGCTCAATGATCATTGATCACCAGATCCTCTGTCTGTGACAAACATAAACAAATCAAAGATTTGGGCGGGGGAATACCATGAACCTAAAAACTATGTAGAAAAATATTTTTTATTTACTGCTAAATCATTGATACCAACAGTTATAGATATTGACGTCATACCTGAATTTGGTGAAATGGTCACTAGGAAAACCATCATCAAACTTGGTGATGGTAGCTAAATTAAGTCAAACATTTGTATAGATTTCGTCATATGTGGTCATTTTTCAAAATGTTTAGGTCACAAATCTGTGGTTGCTGGTAGCATTAGACAGATGGTCGTTTTTGATACAATTAAATTACTTTGTTAAAATAATCTGGAAGGATGAAAAGATGATGCATAAAACAGATAGTTCCCTATTACAGATGGTCCCATGAGTAGACTGTAGTTATGTCCCTTTGTTGATTTCCGATACTTTGTCTTGTTCTATAAAACTTTACAGTGGTTCGTCTGCTACGATACATTTCTTTTAAGGAACCCCATACCACTGCCCAAAACTGTAATAAAGTGTTGGAAACTGGCATGATTATAGCTTTGTTAAATCATTTCAAAAAGAAAACCATCCCTTGTGGGACTTATAATTATGAGAAATAATAAAGATGAAATAAGTAGAATCAACATTGAACTGAGTGTAAACCAATCAGTGGGCTAGACTGGGAGTTGAACCCTGGACTCCAGTTTGTTAGTGGGACAGGCATCCTTAAAGGACATTTAATATGATGATTTTCTTCTCTTCAGAATCCTAAGAAGGGCAAGTACTGTTTTGAGTTGCGGATGCAGGAGAAAGCTTCCTACTCGTTTGCTGCTGAAAATGACACAGAGTGTAACGCTTGGATACAGACCCTAAACAAAGTTATCAATGCTGCTGAGACAGCCTCCAATGTCTCAATGGACAGGATCAAAGGTCAGTAGGTCAAAGGTTACAAAATCTATTATCAGACAGGATCAAAGGTCAGTAGGTCATGGGTTGTGGAATATGTTCTTAGACAGGATCTAAGGTCAGTAAGTCAAAGGTTACAAAATTTATTATTAGACAGGATCTAAGGTCAATAAAAAAGAGTTTACATAATCTATTATAAGAAAGGATCAAAGGTCAGTAGGTCATGCGTCGTAGAATTAGTTCTTAGACAGGATATAGGGTCAGTAAGGCAACAATTACAACATCTATCATTAGACAAGAACTAAGGTCAGTAAGTCACAAGTTACAGAATTGTTGGTCAAAGAATCTATTCACTGATCCGATCAAAGGTCAGTAGGACAGTAGATTCAGAATCTGTACTTGGGGAGAATCTAATGCCAGTATTTCAAAGGTTACAGAATGCATCCTTGAATAGGCACTTATATCAGTAGGTTAACAGTTAAAGAGTCTATTCTTGAATAGGCACTTATATCAGTAGGTTAACAGTTAGAGAGTCTACCCTTGAATAGGCACTTATATCAGTAGGTTAACAGTTAGAGAGTCTATCCTTGAATAGGCACTTCTATCAGTAGGTTAAAAGTTAGAGAGTATATCCTTGGATAGGTACTTATATCAGTAGGTTAACAGTTAGAGAGTCTATCCTTGGATAGGCACTTATATCAGTAGGTTAACAGTTAGAGAGTAGACATCCTTGGATAGGCACTTATATCAGTAGGTTAAAATTTAGAGAGTCTATCCTTGAATAGGCACTTATATCAGTAGGTTAACAGTTAATGAGTCTATTCTTGGATAGGCACATATATCAGTAGGTCAAATGTTAGAGAGTCTATCCTTGGATAGGCACTTATTTCAGTAGGTTAACAGTTAGAGAGTCTATCCTTGGATAGGCACTTATTTCAGTAGGTTAACAGTTAGAGAGTCTATCCTTGGATAGGCACTTATTTCAGTAGGTTAACAGTTAGAGAGTCTATCCTTGGATAGGCACTTATTTCAGTAGGTTAACAGTTAGAGAGTCTATCCTTGAATAGGCACTTATATCAGTAGGTCAAAAGTTAGAGAGTCTATTCTTGGATAGGCACTTATATCAGTAGGTTAAAATTTAGAGAGTCTATCCTTCAATAGGCACTTATATCAGTAGGTTAACAGTTAGAGAGTCTATCCTTGGATAGGCACTTATATCAGTAGGTTAACAGTTAAAGAGTCTATTCTTGGATAGGCACATATATCAGTAGGTCAAATGTTAGAGAGTCTATTCTTGGATAGGCACTTATATCAGTAGGTTAAAAGTTAGAGAGTCTATCCTTGGAAAGGCACTTATATCAGTAGGTTAACAGTTAGAGAGTCTATCCTTGGATAGGCACTTATTTCAGTAGGTTAACAGTTAGAGAGTCTATCCTTGGATAGGCACTTATATCAGTAGGTTAACAGTTAGAGAGTCTATTCTTGGATAGGCACTTATATCAGTAGGTCAAAAGTTAGAGAGTCTATTCTTGGATAGGCACTTATATCAGTAGGTTAAAAGTTAGAGAGTCTATCCTTGGATATTGACTAAGATTACAATAGTGGAGTTTTAAATGTAGCAAATATACAAATGACCTAACCATGAACAAGATCAAGGTCAAGAGGTCCATACGCTGGCCAACAGACACAGTAGTAACAGTGTCTAAGGTTGTTATCTTGTTCAAGGGGAGTTTTCTGTAGTGGAGGCGAATCCATTCATTTTACATGGTTTATAAATTAACTCACTGAGTCCACCAACATGGCATAAGCTCACGTTGGTGGACCCAGTGAGCTAATAAAGGGGTTTCACAATTAGTTAAGGGAAATGTGTAAAGGTATTCTTAAGAAAATGAGAAAAAGGAACATTGAAATATCTTGGCAGTAAACATGGTTGCAAATGATATTGAGGTTTTACACAAAACCTAATACTTAATTTCTAAACCATGTAAAATGAATGACAATTGGTTTGGTTGGTGATTGTACTGTTTGTATTACAGAAGAGATGAGTACCCCTGAAAAGTCCAGTGATAAGATTGAGCACAGCATGCACCCAGAACTACAGAAGGTAAGGCAAGGGGGAAGACCCAGAACTATAGAAGTTAGGGCAAGGGGGATACCCAGAACTATAGAAGGTAGGGCAAGGGGGAAGACCCAGAACTACAGAGGTTAGGGCAAGGGTGATACCCAGAACTATAGAAGGTAGGGCAAGGGGGTGACCCAGAACTACAGAAGGTAAGACAAGAGGGAAGACCCAGAACTATAGAAGTTAATGCAAGGGGGATACCCAGAACTATAGAAGGTAAGGCAAGGGAGGAGGCCCAGAACTATAGAAGGTAGGGCAAGGGGGGAGACCAATAACTATAGAAGGTAGGGCAAGGGAGGAAACCAAAAGCTATAGAATGTAGGGCAAGGGGGGAGACCCAGAACTATAGAAGGGAGGGCAAGGGGGGAGATCAAGAACTACAGAAGGTAAGACAAGAGGGAAGACCCAGAACTATAGAAGTTAGGGCAAGGGGGATACTCAGAACTATAGAAGGTAAGGCAAGGGGGAGACCCAGAACTACAGAAGGTAAGGCAAGGTGGGAGACCCAGAACTATAGAAGTTAGGGCAAGGGGGAGACCCAGAACTACAGAAGGTAGGGCAAGGGGAGAGACCCAAAACTTTAGAAGGTAAAGCAAGGGGGGAGACCCAGAACTACAGAAGGTAGGGCAAGGGGAGAGGCCCAAAACTTTAGAAGGTAAAGCAAGGGGGGAGACCCAGAACTACAGAAGGTAGGGCAAGGGGGGAGACCAAAAACTAAAAAAGGGAGGGCAAGGGGGGAGGCCCAGAACTACAGAAGGTAAGGCAAGAGGGAGACCAGGAACTTTAGAAGGTAAAGCAACGGGGGAGACCCAGAACTACAGAAGTTAGGGCAAGGGGGGAGGCCAAGAACTACAGAAGGTAGGGCAAGGGGGGAGGCCCAGAACTACAGAAGGTAGGGCAAGGGGAGAGACCCAGAACTTTAGAAGGTAAAGCAAGGGGGGAGACCCAGAACTACAGAAGGTAGGGCAAGGGGGGAGGCCAAGAACTACAAAAGGGAGGGCAAGGGGGGAGGCCCAGAACTATAGAAGGTAAGGCAAGGGGGGAGGCCCAGAACTACAGAAGGTAAGGCAAGAGGGAGACCAGGAACTTTAGAAGGTAAAGCAACGGGGGAGACCCAGAACTACAGAAGTTAGGGCAAGGGGGGAGGCCAAGAACTACAGAAGGTAGGGCAAGGGGGGAGGCCCAGAACTACAGAAGGTAGGGCAAGGGGAGAGACCCAGAACTTTAGAAGGTAAAGCAAGGGGGGAGACCCAGAACTACAGAAGGTAGGGCAAGGGGGGAGGCCAAGAACTACAAAAGGGAGGGCAAGGGGGGAGGCCCAGAACTATAGAAGGTAAGGCAAGGGGGGAGGCCCAGAACTACAGAAGGTAAGGCAAGAGGGAGACCAGGAACTTTAGAAGGTAAAGCAACGGGGGAGACCCAGAACTACAGAAGTTAGGGCAAGGGGGGAGGCCAAGAACTACAGAAGGTAGGGCAAGGGGGGAGGCCCAGAACTACAGAAGGTAGGGCAAGGGGAGAGACCCAGAACTTTAGAAGGTAAAGCAAGGGGGGAGACCCAGAACTACAGAAGGTAGGGCAAGGGGGGAGGCCAAGAACTACAAAAGGGAGGGCAAGGGGGGAGGCCCAGAACTATAGAAGGTAAGGCAAGGGGGGAGGCCCAGAACTACAGAAGGTAAGGCAAGAGGGAGACCAGGAACTTTAGAAGGTAAAGCAACGGGGGAGACCCAGAACTACAGAAGTTAGGGCAAGGGGGGAGGCCAAGAACTACAGAAGGTAGGGCAAGGGGGGAGGCCCAGAACTACAGAAGGTAGGGCAAGGGGAGAGACCCAGAACTTTAGAAGGTAAAGCAAGGGGGGAGACCCAGAACTACAGAAGGTAGGGCAAGGGGGGAGGCCAAGAACTACAAAAGGGAGGGCAAGGGGGGAGGCCCAGAACTATAGAAGGTAAGGCAAGGGGGGAGGCCCAGAACTACAGAAGGTAAGGCAAGAGGGAGACCAGGAACTTTAGAAGGTAAAGCAAGGGGGGAGACCCAGAGCTACAGAAGGTAGGACAAGGGGGGAGGCCAAGAACTACAGAAGGTAGGGCAAGGGGGGAGGCCCAGAACTATAGAAGGTAAGGCAAGGGGGGATACCAAGAACTACAGAAGGTAGGGCAAGGGGGGAGACCAAGAAATTTAGAAGGTAAAGCAAGGGGGGAGACCCAGAACTACAGAAGGTAGGGCAAGGAGGGAGGCCAAGAACTACAGAAGGTAGGGCAAGGGGGGAGGCCTAGAACTATAGAAGGTAAGGCAAGGGGGGAGGCCCAGAACTACAGAAGGTAGGGCGAGGAGGGAGGCCAAGAACTACAGAAGGTAGGGCAAGGGGGGCGACCCAGAACTATAGAAGGTAGGGCAAGGGGGGAGACCCAGAACTATAGAAGATAGGGCAAAGCGGGAGACCCAGAACTATGGAAGGTAAGGCAAGGGGGGAGGCCAAGAACTACAGAAGGTAGGGCAAGTGGGGAGAAGAAGATGTGCAGAAGTGGATTGGACAGGAGATGTAGGGTGGAAGGTAGGAGCAGAGAGTAGATGAGAGCGGGAGATTGGAGCAGTAGAGGAGTGGCTGGGTTGGGGAGGGGGGTGTGCAGGAGGCAGGCAGAGGGCAATGGATGGGTTGGGAAGGGGTGTGTGCAGGAGGCAGGCAGAGGGCAGTAGATTGGTTGGGAAGGGGTGTGTGCAGGAGGCAGGAAGAGGGCAATAGATGGGTTGGGGAGGGGTGTGTTCAGGAGGCAGGCAGAGGGCAATAGATGGGCTGGGAAGGGGTGTGTGCAGGAGGCAGACAGAGGGAAATAGATGGGTTGGGGAGGGGGTGCAGGAGGCAGGCAGAGGGCAATAGATTGGTTGGGAAGGGGTGTGTGCAGGAGGCAGACAGAGGGCAATAGATGGGTTGGGGAGGGGGTGCAGGAGGCAGGCAGAGGGCAATGGATGGGTTGGGAAGGGGTGTGTGCAGGAGGCAGGCAGAGGGCAGTAGATTGGTTGGGAAGGGGTGTGTGCAGGAGGCAGAGAGAGGGCAATAGATGGGTTGGGGAGGGGTGGGTGCAGGAGGCAGGCAGAGGGCAATAGATGGGCTGGGAAGGGGTGTGTGCAGGAGGCAGACAGAGGGAAATAGATGGGTTGGGGAGGGGGTGCAGGAGGCAGGCAGAGGGCAATAGATGGGTTAGGGAGGGGGGTGTGCAGGAGGCAGGCAGAGGGCAATAGATGGGGTAGGGAGGGGTGTGTGCAGGAGGCAGGCAGTGGGCAATAGATGGGTTGGGGAGGGGTGTGTTCAGGAGGCATGCAGAGGGCAATAGATGGGTTGGGGAGGTGTGTGTGCAGGAGGCAGGCAGAGGGCAATAGATGGGTTAGGGAGGGGTGTGTGCAGGAGGCAGCCAGAGGGCAATAGATGGGTTGGGAAGGGGTGTGTGCAGGAGGCAGACAGAGGGCAATAGATGGGTTGGGGAGGGGGTGCAGGAGGCAGGCAGAGGTCAATAGATGGGACTAAAAGAGGACGCATGAGGGAGTGTGAGTGAGTGAGGGAGATTACAGTTAACAGATCTTTATAAGTCTTTGCTGCTGCTAGAAATCCTTCAAACACTTAACAGAGTTATAAATAACCTGTATATTGGTGAACTGTACAGAGATGTTTGATTTTTTACAGTATGGCCGGGAGACAGACTCAACATTAGCCAAATCCAGACAAGAGGGGAGACAGAATTTGTTTAGAGTGTATCCTTATATGAATGTAAGTATCTGCGAATTAAATCCAATGTGAAAGATTATATCTTTTTAGTAGTTATGAAGCTACAAACCAACCCTGAGTGCATGTTAGATAATCTTCCACAATGTTTTCAAATTCTCTGATTCAGTCATCTTGTTTACACGAATGATAATTATAAATCATGGAAACTAAATCAAGTACATTTCTAATAAGATTTTCTCATTTCAACTTTTTTTCTCAATTTAATAAAGAAAACTCCTAAAATTGAAAATCTATATCAGTTTTTGTCCAACGGCAAGTTAGACTGACGCTTGATTCAAGAAAATGATAATACTAATTTGTATCGCAAACAAAAAGCATTTCATATCTAGGGACAGAATACAAATAGATATACATAAGATATGGATTGTATTTCTAAGAGACAACACCAGAAAAAGCCAAAAATTACATGGTATTTCTAAGTACAAGATACAAACATTCGATACAATTCCTACTAGCATAATATCCTCTTTGAAATTTTCGTCTTCATAGATTTTAAATATAAAAGAAAACTGGGAAATTCTACACCCTCCAATAAAATATTCAAACTTTCCTTGTGTTGGGAAAAATGTATGGCATGAAATGGAACTCCAATTTGTAGTACATTTCAGATAAAAATAGAGATATTTGTTTTTGTACACTTTCATATGTTGTACATTTTTCACTTTAAAAGTGATGATTCCAAAATACCCAGAGAAATTTGAATGCTAATTGAATTGTCCTGATAAATATAATAATTGGAAATGAAATTAACATGGATATGACAGTTTTTGTGAAACAGTGAACTGAAATACAGTATTACATTAGTATGAACATGGGAATTGAAATACCATATTTGTTGTGAAGTTGTACTCTGGCAGTGTACTTAATGTCATAGTGGTGAACTATCAAGTCATTTGTTACTGGCTTAAGTGAATTGGCCTGTAGCAGATTGAGCTATGGACTATTTATCCTTGGTCCCAGGTAAATACTGGTAGAGGCACTAGGAGAAAATAACCTTGGATACATTTAAATTGTAGTCCCAGATAACTCCCAGTAGAGGCACTAGGAGAAAATAACCTCGGATACATTTAAATTGTAGTCTCGTTTAACTCCCAGTAGAGGCACTAGGAGAAAATAACCTCGGATGCATTTAAATTGTAGTCCCAGATAACTCCCAGTAGAGGCACTAGGAGAAAATAACCTCAGATACATTTAAATTGTAGTCCCAGATAAATCCCAGTAGAGGCACCAGGAGAAAATAACCACGGATACATTTAAGTTGTAGTCTCGGATAACTCCAAGTAGAGGCACTAGGAGAAAATAACCTCGGATACATTTAAATTGTAGACTCTGATAACTCCAAGTAGAGTCACTAGGAGAAAATAACCTCGGATACTTTAACTTGTAGTCTCGGATAACTCCAAGTAGAGGCACTAGGAGAAAATAACCTCGGATACATTTAAGTTGTAGTCTCGGGTCAGCTTTGCTCAAGTGACCTATTCTAATTGCTTTTCGTCTGTCGTCGTCCGTCGTCCGTCGTCCGTCGTGCGTCGTGCGTAAACTTTTACATTTTCAACTTCTTCTCAGGAACCAGTGGATGGATTTTTTTCAAACTTGGTCAGAATCATCCTTGGTAGATGAGGCTTCAAAATTGTAAAATTGGGATTCCTACCCCAACCCCTGGGGCCAGGGCGGGGCCCCAAAGGGAAAATTAATCAATATTTCAAAAATCTTCTTCTTCAGACTCAGAGGTACTCCAGTGATTTTCTCTATGTGGAAAGAAAGATCATCAGGGGCTTTATTTAAATTGAAAATATCAGGATCCTGAGCTATCCGTTCTCCCTTAGGGAGTGGGGTAACGTTTAATATAGTTTATATAGGGAAATAACACTTTTCGGTATATATTTTATCCATTTTCAGCAGAAAATTGCTCAAACTTAGTCAGAATCATTTTGGTAAATGAGAGTTTTACTTTGTAAAATTAGGATTCCGTTGATGACATGACAAGTATTGTATTTCACTTAGTTTAAGTGCTGATTTCCACATCACATCTAAACAATAAAATAAAGCTACCAGTACCTATGATATAAACTCAGGTGACCGCTAAGGCCCTTGGGCCTCTTGTTTTAATATCTCATTAACGCGATCGTTTATAATTTTTATAAAAATATAGAATAATTTCAAACATTATTTTCTAAATGTGACAATTACAAAAATGTTTATTTATCATCTGATAATTTAGAAATCGACGATAATGTGTTTTTCACCCCGGGAACGGGGTACAAGATTTACATACCACCAGTTTCTAGTGGAGGCACTAGGAGAAATTAACCTCAGTTAATCTTGTGTATATTCTATTTTCGGTGATCTCAAACTTTTTTGCATGGTCTGAGCGGCGTTGACGCAAGAAGTCTTACTGAAAGTAGTTTTGACTTGTATTTGTAGAGGTATGTAATAGATGACGAGGATGAAGAGGAAGATGGCGACGCGATAGCTGTGTACCCTCCTCAATACCGGGAACGATTCATGCTACGATTGCTGGACTTCAAGCTCAAGCTCCAGTTCAATCTTGGCGAAGAGTTGAAATGTGGAAATAAATTCTGTAATGTGAGCATTAATGCTAATCAAAGACACCTGTGGCTCATGTTAATATATCAGGGTCATATGCTAATGTATCAGGGTCATATGCTAATATATCAGGGTCATATGCTGATAATCAGGGTCAAATGCTTATACATCAGGGTCATGTGCTGATACATCAGGGTCATGTGCTGATACATCAGGGCCATGTGCTAATATATCGGGGTAATATATACTTATACATAAGGGTCATATGGTAAAATAGCAGGATTGAATGCTAATACAACAGGTTTGAATGCTATACATCAGGGTCATATATGCTGATACATCAGGGTTATATATGCTGTACATTTGTGCCATATGCTAATACATCAGGGTCCTATGGTCATTCAGAAAATGAATAGGTAGTAAAAATGTATTTACATAACAATATTATGTTTAAGTCAGAGCCCTGCTTGATGAAATTCTGTTATTTGGACACTTTTATCTTGCACACTTTAACTTTGCACACATTTATTTTCAACAATGTGTACTTTCAGCCGGAGCCATTCTTTTTGACCTTCTGTCTTTATGATGCTAAAGAGGGGAGGAAGATATCTGAGGATTTCCACATGGACCCCAATGACCCACAAATAAAAGAAATGATTCCCTCCGATGTTATCCATGCCTCTGACCGCCTACATACAGTGGTGGGGAAAACTACCTCTCCGGACCTGTGGGGGCTGGAGGACAAGTGGATCCTAGCTCAGAACAGACAGGTATAGAACCAAAATGGTTAAACTAAGGCTGGGGACACAGTGGGGCTATAAGGCAGAGTTTGGATAGTTTGGTATATAGGGAGATGATATGGTGAGGGAGTAGGGTTGGATAGTTTGGTATATAGGGAGATGATATGGTGAGGGAGTAGGGTTGGATAGTTTGGTATATAGGGAGATGATATGGTGAGGGAGTAGGGTTGGATAGTTTGGTATATAGAGAGATGATATGGTGAGGGAGTAGGGTTGGA